TAAGAGAGGGGTGAAGAGAGAGAGAGAGAGAGAGAGAGAGAGAGAAAGAGAGAGAGAGAGAGAGAGAGAGAGAGAGAGAGAGAGAGAGAGAGAGAGAGACAGACAGACGAAATAAAATAAAGAGGGAGAGGCGGAAAGTAGAGAGTGTGAGCGATAGAAAGAAAGAAAGAATTGAGACTGTAAGCGAGAGAAAGTAAGAAAGCGAGAAAGATATAGCGGCACAGAGAGATGTGAAGGATAGTTCAATCTCCTCGTTTCATTTTGTCAGACCGCACATGCAGCGAGAGATGCAAATAATAAATGTTTCTTTATTCAACCTTTTCTTGTTGCGGATGCCGCTCTCGATCGCAGCGCGCGCACGCAGCGATTTTGCATGTGCATGGTTTCGTTACAGAACCAATAACATTGCACCTCGAACGTACCGGAATGCCATAGCATGACAGCCAGTACAAATAATAATTAAGCGACTTTGCATTTTGCAGAGGCAATATTAGCATATAGCATAGAGCATCATAGTTTACGAATGGAGAACAGATAAAGAGAACAATCAGCCATTGTACCATTACCGCCGGAAGGTACAATGTGTGGAACTTGTAAATAAAGACCTAATAACCAACAACCAATGACCTAATAACAAAAGATAATGGATAATCAGGCCATTGGGCTGCTGTATATGTTAATAAAAATGTTAGTTATAACAATAAATATCACGATCATCTCATAAATCAGTAAAACAAATGGGACTGCCGAGAATGAAATAAGAATCCATGTTGTGGCGTCGCACCCATTGGAATGTGATTGGGCAAGTTACATGTAGACTATCAAGGTAACGTGACTTAAAGCTGGCACTGTGATTGGTTGGGTCAGGGGACGACAAAGAAAATGGCTGCTCTCTATTGAAAGTGTTCTTTTGCATTATCAATACGTATTACACTGTTTCCTTGAATATTGACAAGAATGTCTTCAAATTCAATGAGAGCTACACGTATAAATACTCGCAGATCATGTAGGAAATCAAGGAAAAGGCTACCATTGCCTGGAATAGAGGGTAAATTATTTAGAACGCAGGCATCTGTGTACAAGGACATGACTGACTTCTCAGGCACAGGCAATTTAATTGTCATGCTGTCATTGCTGACAATCCCTTGTTAGAGTTAGAATATAGTCATTGCAAGCACTGCTTATTTCATTAACTGTGTTAGTCGGCAAAGTTTAGTAACCAATATTCAATTAATATCATGAAAAGTTGTTATTTAAAGGTGTTGCTGAGAAATTGAATACTCCTCAGTCCTGTTTTGTATTCAATTCAGGTTGTTACGAGTATGGCACTAGTCTACGGACTGTCATCAACACTCCCTGTTACATGTACATTAATGATTAATGATTTGATATATCAGTGTCCTTGTTTGAATAAGTAGGTTTTGTTTGTGGTTATTCCAAATTAACACAGGGTCAATTTCTACACTAGCTCAAAATAGAAGTAACGGCCCAAGGATAGAGAACATGGGTCCCAATAAAACCAATGTGCCTAACCCTAACCCTAACCATAACCTATTATATTGATATAATATTATATTTATATTGATGTAAATGACATTGGTTTTATTGGGACCCATATGTTCTCTATCCTTGAACCGAAGTAACTGGCAATGGGTGTTGTGATGGTGATGTAACTTGTAAGTTGTATGTGTTCAAGCTGTTATGGTCATGTACAGTCAGGTGAGTGATTGTACTCATTGTGCACCATCAGAGAGTGAGTTTTGTGTGCAGTTGATGTAGTTTCTATTAGAATTGTTGCTATTTTTACAATTCCGGTATAAAAACTTGCTGTTTGTGTAAAATAACAAGGAAACACTTGTGATCAACTAAATACAAATTTAGATGTATTTTAGGTGTGCTCTTCTAAACCGTTGTTGGTGTACTAAGTGTACATATTACATAACTTATTAGTACTTAGTTGTTTTACTAGTACTAAAAGTGCAAAGTGATGTGCGTTTCATTGTGCTAAGTTCCAGCCCATGTCTCTAAAATTTTATACTATCCTACATGCAGATCTAATACTAGACATGTGATATTATCACTACCAGAATTGTAGCACACAGTACTTAGAATTCTGGGTTCCCCCAGACCATTAAATTGCATGTCAGGTCTGACATTTCATCAAACCCATAGCTAATTTGTGCCATAAACATAAATCCCCTAACATGCTTAATTTCCAGCTGTGTTTACTTTTTACAATCATAACACAGTCGTGCTGTATTATATATTCCAAACATTAAGTTAATCTCTGTATTGGAGCCCTGTATCATCACCTGTACATAAGTGTAATCGAATCATGTCATTCATATCACATGTGAAATTCGTAAATTCCCAAAAACCATTTATACATTAATTACATGCCTTCTGAAATTCCTGGGGAGAACCCTGGTTTTCTGTGTGTTATCACTAATTTAATTTAAAAGGTAAACATCAAAGTAATTATCATGTGATATCATGTTTTGGTGATCACTCCCAGATCGTGTAGTAAGACTTGACGTTAATAGCCCTTAAATTTACACTAATCACACCTGTTTGTGGACGTTTCAGGCGATGTTGCTAGCGCGGAGCCAGCAGCAGCATGCGTTGCCCACCCATCAAGTCCAACACCTAGTCAAACTTCACATCCATATCACTTGCGCCGAACGTCGTTACGGCGGGATGTTAGTCCAGTATCAGCGGCAAACACGCCGCGTAAACGGCAGAGGCGGTCAAGGTCGGCACAGGACGAGGCCTCCCAAGGTAACGTTAAACAAATGCAATGTCAAGCTTTGCATTGTAATCAAGAACGTGTAGGGTGTTTGTTCCTCACCTGTGCGTAAATACTAGAGCCGATTCTAAAGTAGAAATACTGTGAACATGTGAAAACTTTGTGTTTTCTGCTTGTGCAATGTTACTCGATTGTAAATAGTATGTGGTTATGCTAACGTTAAACAAATGCACTGTCAAGCTTTGCATTGTAATTAAGTATGTGTACAGTGTTTGTTCCTCACCTGTGCGTAAATACTAGAGCCGATGCTAAAGTAGAAATACTGTGAACATGTGAAAACTGCGTTTTTCCGCTTGTGCAATGTTACTCGAATGTAAATAGTATGTGTTTATGCTTATTGCTGTTGGTATTTGTTTTCTAGGTAGCAGTACGGCTGCATATTTTTTACAATATGAACTTCCAGATGAGGTGATACTAAACATATTCTCTTACCTGCTAGAGCAGGATCTGTGTCGTGTGTCACAAGTGTGCAAGCGTTTTAACACCGTTGCCAATGATTCAGAGCTATGGTAAGTAATGCATAGTTTATGCGATGATTTGCTAAGGTGACGTTTTTTTTAAAAACAGTTTTGGTTTGATGATGGACCATTTGAGTTTGAGTAAATGAAATTTTAAATATCCACTATATATCCTCTGCTTCAGTAAATGTATCTCCTGTCAAACAGGTATATGTCAGATAATGTATGTGATTTTTCATTGTTTAATAATATTAATAATAATATACGTAACATGGTAAGAAACTCTTGTTCTGGATTCTTTCTCACACTGCACCTGAGGTTTTGCGGCAGTGATTTTTTACGATCTCTTCGGTCTTTCTGTCTAGGAAAACATTGTACCAAAGTGTGTTCGAGTATGATCTTCCATTGATGAACCCTAAGCCGTGCAAGTTTGAGTTCATTCAGCCAGATGAATCTGAGTACGAAAACCCTTGGAAAGGAAGTTTCAAGTCTTTGGTAAGAGTATCGTAATGACCCGCCCTCATTGACAAGTGAACTTTTACTCTAGCCGTGAAAACGACGGTGTTAATTTATCTGTTGCCGTGAGTTGACTGTGTGTAACATTCGTCATGCCTATATACTTGTGTCTCGTGTCGAGCAGGTGTTTGCGAGTAATGCAGCAGATGTAGAAATGCAGCGTAAACAAGAATATTCACTGTAATTAAACTTGTTATTTGTAGTATCGAGGTTTGCACGTCAGACCTGGGTTCCATGCCAAATATGAAGAAGCTCCAGAAAGGTACAAGGGAAGGCACATATCGGTAGGTACCTTTACGCTTTCATTTATGTTTTCATGCGGTAATTTCTTCAGCTATGTTTTATTAATCTCTTTTGTCATTGTAACTACCTCACTGGAATAAATGACTGAAAATGTTTAAAACAGAAAAAATGAAATATGCCTGATTGTGTCAATTGTGGAAATTTCTTCCTTCCAGCTTACATGTGTGTATTCTACTCGCCAATTACCAAGTCAATATTTTGCGGAGTTGTGTTTGGCAATGCAGACAGACTGTTGCCTTTGTTACCATATAGTGCTACGTCATGAGATTTGATTTCTGCTGATACATGCGCAGCCGTATAATAATGTTTTTAATCTACGTGTGCTAACGACTGTGTTTTCTATTCGAATGTGGTCAGTTCTTTGAGACGATAGAAGCAGCGTTTAACGACTCTGAGGATATGAAGCATCCATTGGTGTTCATTCACAAGGGCATGTACAGTGGTGAATGGCTTATCATTGACACAAATGTGCAACTCATCGGTGCTGGTGAGTATGCATGTAATGCATTCTCCATATTTTATAAAAACAACGACTGTCTGACGTCATAAACGAGGTATATAAACCTTGCTGTGCAGTATGTTCCCCAATCAGTTCCCCAAGTTTAAATTAGTAGTATCGGATGACCTTGATAGGTTATCTTTTTTTTGTAATTCAATCAACTGGAATGTTTCACCTAGGTAAATACGTGTATGTGTCACCTCATAAATTCTGTTTCATTTTACTAAATTCCAGTCTGATTCAGTCTGTTCAGTTTAATAAAATCCTGAAAGTGAATTAAAAAATCTCAGATTTGCCATCTGACTTAAAGTGGAATTGATTGAATTCTATTTAGTTTTGCGGATTGCTGTTAATAATGTAGAATGGAAAGAATGTATTGGTTTCTGTGCAATAACCATTTCTTTTGTTTATCACTTTTACACTTTGTACGTGCACTGGGAAGGTTTTCATGCCGAATTTTGTTAAACGTTGACATGTTGTTGAGTTGTTCGAGTGGCTGGCTGTTTCTATGAAAGTCCAATTCATTCTTGAAATCAAGTCATAAATCAGGAATGAACAAATCATAGAACGAAGATGTCCAGGTAAAAATGTCTAACTGGACTACGTGGAATTGGGATCGAACAATTGATTGCAATTAATTTCCGATTTGTTGTAACATACGCAGCTAGTATCTGATCATGGTTCAGACAGAAGTGCTTGGCTTTTTCCCAGTTGCTGTACAAGTAATATTTTATACTGAAATTGAAAACCTAATAGACATGTTTTTTCCCTGAATTTTTGCAGCACCAGGCAACGTAGCGGAACATGTGATATTAGAACGACAAAGTGAATCTACAATAATGTTTGTGGAGGGCGCCAATCAGGCATATCTGGGATATGTCACACTAAAGGTAAGGAACTCATAGTTGCAGGCTAAAGTGCAACATGCAGGGTTAGGAATTTCAGAAGGAAATTGAGAACGCATGTTGTGTAGTCAGGCAGTTCATCTTTGATTACTAATTGGAGTCAATTAAGCTTATATTAGTTTGGAGACGTATTCATAAAGCTGTCAAAAAACAGCACGACTGTTGGGGTTGTCAAAAGTTAACACGGCTGGAAATTAAGACATGTTGATTAGGAAATTAAGACAATGTTGATTAGGCAAGTAAGACAATGTTGAAAGATTTATGGGATGTTGCAGATTAGCTTCCACATTTGAAGACATGTCAGTTTCCAACATGTGTTAAAGGTCTGGGCAGAATCCTGGAATGTTGCCATGCAATAATGTTTTTAGCTCATCTGACATAGTCAGATGCAGCTTGTAGAATCGCGATGGATGCGGTCCGTGGCGTCCGTGGCGTCCCGTCAACAGTTGGGCACAAATCTTAACCGGCTCGACGGTACACGGTCACGATATTCGGGACGTGGGGGGGTAATCCGAAAACGAGTTGGGATGTCGAAGCTGGGGGTCAAAGGTCAAAGGTCAAGAGGTGTAAAAAGGGGGAACATTCACTCCTTAACTTAAGGTATAGGGAGGAGAATGCAGAATTGCGCGCACAAATCTTAAACGGCTCGACCTAGGCTCTGATAGTCGTGTATAGCCATCATGGTGGAAAAGCCATTCACTGTGCCGAAATTGGAGGCACATGGCACAAGGGCCCAGATTTTATACATTTTCTGAGGACATGGTCTGACGAGCGATTGAAAAACTTTTTTGTTTCAGCGGTGACTAGCATTTTTTGGCTTTATTGAAAGGACCATGAAATGTCCTTCTGCTGATGCGAAGAGTAAGTGTCGGATAACGCCTTTTGACCCTCAAGAGGAGGGTTAAACATGGATTTGTTAACTGTGGTACTGTGTTAGAAAGAATTTGACTGCGGGTTGGCTAGTCTAGAATCTATACATGCCTGGATGTATGAGGCTACAATGTTACAGTGAAATTTCAAAGCTAAATTTGCTTGAAGAAGGTTTATGTTCTTAAATCGTATAATTTCTATGTCATTCTGTACTGTCAGTATGTTACATGTAACGTATGCCACTGCAGTGGCTGCTGCCAGATGCATGTGTCTGGTGCGTTTTTTGCCTGCCTTAATTGGTTACAGGTGGCAGCTCTCTATTGCAATTTGCAGCCTGTAGGCTTGCGTAGGTAAATGGATGAGTGGCTTACCTATTCTGTCTTGCAAATAGTTGTTGCTACTACGTATGATGGGAGCTTCCATCTTTAATTCGTGAAATGAACCAACCTAAACGTAAGCGCCGATTCTCGTGGCAGCTTTCATAACGATCCCAACGAACATTCTTTTGAGAAGGTTACTGATACCATCCCTGTGCATTCCACTGTTTCGGCGTGTATGTGAACACATTTGGGACTAGCAGGGTTTACTAGAATCCCACCACTCCACCACAGAGTCACCGCAGTAGACGTTAGATGAGCGCTGTCGCTCTGCGGCACTTGTTTAAACCTATCATCTCTTCAATAAATTAAAAAATGAATAATAAATCATATTAAATGTAGACAAGTTAGGTCTCACCTGTTAGCGGATATATTACTGAATACTGATTACTTCAGCGTAAAATTCACTACGAGTTTGTGCTGTTATAGGCTAGCAAACAGCAAATGAACAGCAAACTTGCACCCGCATTCCTGAGATGAAGGAAAACGATCTATGAAAAAGCTGCCACAAAACACGTGCATGCGTTTACATCACATGAATGGTTCTAGACTGGTACCCTAATCTATCTCAATATGTAGACAAGTCACGTAATAGAGAGACGATCTATTTTGAAATTCAGCTCAGGGCACATATTGGTGAAAATATTGGTGTGAGTGCTCTAAGATTCTTACCCTACTTTATACACTTGGTGATGCACTAGGAGTACCCGTAGGCATTAGATCAGTCGAGAAAATATGAGAAAGGTTGGGGGAAAAGTGAAATCTTTGCTAGTGTAAGAGATTCACAATATTTGTCTAGTTCATCAGTTAAGAATTCTAGAAATCTTCTCTAAAATAAATTTGTAGAAAGAACACGTGATGACAGGTCTCAGTTTATTGTAATAGTATAGTATAATGACTTTGAGGCAAATGTGAAATGATAAATGTGGCAGGAGAACTACATACAACAAACACGATTAGTTGGTACCTAAGCTCATTCTGTTTTCTGGAAATTTTGATTTTTTAGAATCCGCTCTAGATACCAGGTGTACATGGTAACATGCATGTGAAGTTTTAATGTCTGTAGCAACAGGCTGATTTTTCTTTATCATTGTGTTTTATGACAAGATTAATTTTCGTAACACTAAACTATTTTCTCTGACATAAAACTAAATTACAGTTATTTTTGGATAGATGAAAATTGCGTACAAACATATAAATAGTTATAAAAATCGGATTTTGCGTGGGTCAGAGTGTTTATATGAAACTTGTGTTTTTGTGAAGGTGACCGAATCTCTCTGACAATGTGTTTGTTTACATTTTTTAAGTGTGCGAGTTACGGTCATCAGTGCATGTCTTTATTTGCATACAAGCAAGGTTAGGGAAGTAAGGGCAATTCACAATGTGACCGCAGCTAATAGAAGTCGATGGAAAAACGTTATTCACGTTACAGATTTTCACATTATGCATGTTTTTCTAGAATTCATTACTTATGTAACTTGGTGGTATTACTGTATAGAATGTAAGGGAAAGGCACAGAGGCAAATCAGATTGAGCAGGCATTTGGAGTTTGCTGATTTTAGAGGCACTATTGCCAGTAAGAAGGGTAACCACAGCACCGGTGTTGTTGTGAGATTCTAATTCTGCTGCAAGTCACTCTCGTCATTGCATGTTGACAGTTCTGTCCAGATGTGACGTCGTCAGTGCCACCTCACAAACACTACTGTCTAGAGGTGACAGAGAACTGCTCCCCAGTAGTGGATCATTGTGTCATCCGCAGCACTTCTGTCGGTAAGTACCGCGGATTTTTCCTAATTGTACTTTTTTACTAATGAAGTCCCAGCTTCCTGTTATTGCCACCCTTATTACCAAGTGAGGCTGCGCTTGGAAAATTTCGGTGAAACTGCAGAAAGTTGATTTAGAACTTCAACAGTAGGTTGGTAAGTGGGCCAATGAATGGTATATTTGTTGTGCATATATATACAAACAGAGCTGTAGCAAGCATAAAGCAAGAGGGGCAGTTGTGCCCCCCCATCAGTAGTGACGTACGGTAGATACATTACATGGTCGATGGCAGTCACCGCTTTGCCCCAAGCAAAATGGGTTAGCTATGTTCCTGATATAGGTAATTTCCAGAAAAACAATTTGTCCACTATATTCATATACACTGGTATCATGCGCACTAGTAAAGCTATATACAGATAAACCCGATATGAAATTATTCTCGTAAAGATTTATTCCTGCACGTGTATTTGCGTAGAAAGAGCCCTATGTTTTATTTGCATAAATAGGTTCCATGTACATATATGTTTACAAATATAACCTTGTACATCTGTATAAATAGAATGCTGTACATGTGTGGGCGTAAATATATACACGTACACAAATAAAACCGTTAACCTAATTTGTTAATTCAATATACGAGCATGGGTTAATAAATCTACTCCTGTATATCTATTCCAGTAGGAGTGTACATGTAAATTTACCCCTGTACTGGTATGAGCAGAAATCCATATTGCTTTCTGTGTGTGCGTTTGTGCGTGTATGCGTGCGTGCACATAGCCACACTTGTATATGTGTGTATAAGTACCATATGTACCAGTTGATAAAGAGGTAAATATCTCAAGCTTGGTCTGATGTGAGTACAGTGGGTTGTCACTGCGATGTGAATTCAGTCAGCTGCCATGTTTTTGTTGACCTCTGTAATTGGTCATTAAAACGTGCATGGTCATAAGATAAGTAGATGGTGTGCGTCTTCCAGCTGAAACAAATGTTAGAATTTAAAGCAGTTTCGCAGGTTGCAGCAGGGGTTTTAGGATTGAGCCGTTGACCAATATGCAGCATTTGCTTGTTTATAGTGTCGTAACTTGGACAAAAATACACAGTCCAACCTAATAATGTGCCCCATAAAAAGTCTAGAATTATTTTGAAATGTAAAACGTGTACTGATTCATGTTTACAGTTGATTGCATGTCACTAAAAATTCACGCTCGTATCTACACACATCTGCATGAGAACAACAGTAGGCAAACCTAGAAAATCTTTAATTTACGTACACTGTAGCGAATGAGTACCCTTGATGTCTCTGCGCTAATCGTCATTGATTTTAGAATAACACAATCGTAAACAATGTGACAGTCTTGGGCTGCTGCTGTAGCAATTAATGGTGAGATTTCAGTTGTGTTCCCGAATGCAGTGTTGATTTGTATGTTTAACCGAATGATTCATTCACCCAAGTTTTTGAGTTTTTGTGTGTTTGTTGTTGTTGTTTTGACCCAATTATTGGTCCCCCCCCCACACAACAGCAAGAACAGTACATGTTAGTTGTAGTTGCTATAGCATCCACTCTGCTATGCCTGTGTCTGTTGCTGTAGCAACTGTAACTTGGTACATATTTGCATGTATTCTATCAGTGAAAAGGATCGTAAGTCTTGTAACGTCGTCTCTGTCTCGCTTCGTCTCCAGTCGGTGCGGCCGTGTGTGTGTCCGGCGTCGGCGCCGATCCAGTGATCAAGCACTGTGATGTGAGCGACTGCGAAAACGTGGGACTCTACGTGACCGATTACGCACAGGTAGGCAGAAGTTACGCTGCAGTCATCTCTCCCATGGTCCTTCACGCAGAGCGAATTTTGGTATTAGTTGCCACTACCGACGACCGTTAGCATCGCTCGGTGTGAAGTCGCGTACCACTGAGACCACCGTTATTGTTATCATCAACCGCCATTGTAGTTATATTACCAGAGTGGTTTTATAGTTGGAACGCGGTGCATGCTTGAGTCGTATGTGCATCCTCAATGAACGCATTGAAGGTTAACTAAAGAGGTATTGGTGAAATCATTGTATGGGTATCTATTGAGCCAGGAAGCCTATCTATCAAAACTCATAAATTATATGTATACATCAGGGGTCGAAATAATCGATGGTCCGATGGTCCGGGGCCATCAAATAATCAGGAGAACCATCCTATCAGATTTTCAAAGTCAATGGTCCGACGGACCATTGAATATTTTGGTCTCATTTTACGGTATATTTTACGGTACCATATTTGAGACATAGATACTATGTTCCGGTGTTATGGGTTCAACTAAATTCTACTGAAACAGCTTTATTAACCAATATACTATTAAAGTGAATAAACAATTACTGTATCGTTTGATACATTTATTGTAGGTGAATAATTAAAAAATTTTGCACAGGGGAGAGATAGTGATCTGCTAGGGGACGGCTCTGATTGGCTAATTTTGTCTCTTATTTATTTTTATTATTTTTGGCTAATTTGGTTTTATTTTAGAATTAGGGTTACGGTTAACTGATTTCTATATCCACAACACACTAATAATGTGCCATCTAGCGGATCATTATCTCTCCCCTGAGACCTACTTATAATTAAACCATTTTATCACCATGTAAAATCTCTTTCTTACGCTTGCACGCCGCATTGCTTTTAGAGAACAATTTGAAATTTAGGAGGACCATCTAAATTTCATACTACATGGTTCATGTGGACCATCTCTTTTTTTCTCCTTATTTCTATCTCTGTACATCATTTTAAATTGCATTTCTAAGGTCATATTCAATGTATTATAGCAATGTTAGTGGCAATTAGTACTCAGTGCCAACATGTGTTAGGATGTTCATCAATATACCATTGTGGTTCATGATACGGTTTCTTGTCTCGCAATTACAAGCAACAGTGGTTCAATCGCTTTTCATTGTGCATTACTGTGAGACTGTTTCCATTGATCTTCTGTGTGGTAGACTGGGCGTATGACTTTGTTTGCATTCGTTGTGTATAGGGAACATATGAGGACAATGAGATCAGTAGAAATGCACTGGCTGGAGTGTGGGTGAAAAACCACGCTAATCCCATCATGAGGCGTAATCACATACACCATGGCCGTGATGTTGGAATATTCACGTTCGAAAACGGGCAGGTACGTGAATATGGGGAGTGGTAAAAAGTAATGGGGGACTGGTGGTAAATTGGATAGCTCGAGCAGTCTGTCAATTTCTTCTATTTCCCGCTACTCTTGCACCATCAGTGATTTCCTGCACTCCCATGTAGTTTTTTTTCTGACTGTATGTACGGTTTGTACATTCCTTTAAAGACTTGCAATCTAAAACAAATGCAAAATTATTTCCTTGCTTAGCACGTCCTGAAAAATTTAGCTAATGTACTGAATCCATTGTTCACTACTGGTACTAGTTCTACAATAATAGTAGGATGCAAATTCTCTCAAGAGATGCAAGTCTTTCTGCATATAGGATTTGGATTAGATACTCCTCCCAGAAGAAGAATGAATAGCAAAGATGATATAGCTAAGAGAAAGAAAATAGCTATGATAATCTATCCATAACATTACATAATATACTCATACACTCATTTCACGAGTGCTCATTTTTATTTACTGAACCCACGATTACATTACATGGAGTACATTAACATGGTATGACCGTAACTCTGCGCACAAGAGTCATGTATGGCTCCTTGTCTCCCCAAGACGATGAAGAATTAATCTCTACATGCATTCATTCACTGGCAGGGTTTGTTCAATATAATACTACCACAAGAAAAGTACTGAATTTCTGTACAACGATTTCTCTTTATTCCTACGAGACACGTCCGTACATGCTAACAGCTCAATCCTAAAAGAACCTAAACTCACGTGTGCACTGCCGTCCCACGTATATCTGCTCACGTGACCAACTAGCTTCTCTTCTCGTAGCTGGCTACTGTCGCGCTGTGCAGCATGGTGTAATGGTGTTGTACTCAGTACACGTTCTTACGAGACGTAATCATTAACAGGGTTACTTCGAAGCGAACGACATCCACAACAATAGGATCGCTGGCTTTGAGGTGAAGGCGGGCGCCAACCCGACGGTGGTCAGTTGCGAGATCCACCACGGTCAGACGGGGGGCATCTACGTGCACGAGAACGGCCGCGGTCAGTTCCTCGAGAACAAGATCCACAACAACAGCTTCGCGGGCATCTGGGTGACGTCCAACAGCGACCCGACGATCAGGTACGAGAGCGCGTTGGCTGGGACCGGTCGACGGTCATCGGTCAGTGAATCGCGGCCGGATATGGAGCCTCGAAGGTGCCCGAGAAGGCGTTCGGCGCGCAGTGATTTTTTTTCGCGCATAGATCACAAATATCTGCATCTTTTTTGCATGAATTACTTGATCTGTTGCAAAGAAACTTGCCAGCAAAATGAGAGAATGGTTTTGGAATTGCGAATTTTGAAGAATATTTTGCGATGAAATATCTCGAAATGTTTCCAAAAGTTAGAGAACTGCTTCACGTGTTTATTTCAGTAAAGTCCGATTGCGGTAGGCATTAACGATATCATTTGTTTTGTAGGCGGAATGAGATTTATGATGGGCACCAAGGTGGAGTGTACATATTTGGAGAAGGAAGAGGGCTCATTGAATACAATAATATATATGGTAAGATCTATGTGAGATCATGTTCAGTAGCCGGTTTAATGCAATTACGTTCATTAAATAGATGTTATCATAAAAAATACCTTTTAATAGCAAGTTTCTCAGATTTTCTTGTTTGTTACAGGAAATGCACTGGCAGGAATCCAGATACGAACTAATAGCAACCCAATTGTGAGGCACAATAAAATCCACCATGGCCAGCATGGGGGCATATATGTGGTAAGAGGTTCATAACAGCTATGCTTGTCTTTGCAATGCATAAAACATGAACTGCTTGTATGCTAATTTCATGTATGATGTAATTTCATCAATAACATCATACATGAGTTATCCCATATTAAAATTGTTCTCACAGAATCACAGTACCAATGGTCTGTAACCTGTGGCAATGTAACTAGTGGTCAGTGAGGTAGGACAACTGTCACGTGTTTCTGGTCAGGATATGAAGTGGTGTCGACTGACGCTTTAAAGTTTTTACACGGAATAAGGAGGCTTAGGTTAATGAGGAATAGTTTTTCTGTCTAATTTGCACTGTTGACGATTAGTAAAGTGTGACGGTTGACCGTTTGTCTGATTTCAGCACGAGAAGGGTCAAGGTCTGATTGAGGAGAACGAGGTCTATTCCAACACGCTGGCCGGTGTGTGGATCACCACGGGAAGCACGCCCGTGCTCAGGAGGAATAGGATACACAGCGGCAAACAGGTAAGCAACGCTGATATCTTGTGGACAGGACACGAAGCATGGGAAGTCCATTTCCTCTTTAGAACTTTCATCCACTCTTATGTCCAATATATATGTAATCCCAAGTTTCATCCCCATTAACATCAAGTCCACTTATCCTCAGCACAAGTGGATGAGCTTCTCTGTTGCCTATGTCAGTATGTACATTCAAAACTACAATATATTGCTGTTATTACGTTCGTTCTTGTGATGTTTACACATATTTAGCGATTGTAATTATTTTTGTTTTTTGCGTGTATTGGTTTTGGCAACTAGTAATAACATTCTTTCATACAGGTGGGCGTGTACTTTTATGATAATGGTCACGGAACATTGGAAGAAAATGATATATTCAACCATCTCTATTCCGGCGTTCAAATCCGGTAGGTTTTACCTCGCCTAATTTGGGTGTCAAAGCATTTACAGCAAATCTGTACTGTTGCTGGTTATTGACTAAGCCATGGTGAAATTTGTATAAAAAAACCGTGTCTGTATAATGATGCCATTAGTGACATTATTAGATTTTTACTACATATTTTATCATTTATTATCATTTTAATTATTTATTGTAAATTAAAAATGCCATTATTAAACTGCTCGAAACGCATTCATATCCGGTAACAGTTTAAGGACAAGAAACGTTTCTAAAAAATAAACTCGCCGAAAAAAAGTGCTGCAATCAGTCAAAAAGATTTCTAAATGATGATTTAATTTGATGATTCAAATGAAGTCTAAATGATCTCCATAGCATCGCTTGGTGCTTCAGGACGGGCAGCATTCTGCTAATCAAGAAGAACAAGATCTGGGGCAGGCAGAAAGGCTGCATGCTCCGTCAAGAATGAGACTAGTATTGTCAGCACCCGCGTTTTCTGTAAATGTTTTCACCCGTGTATTAATATTCATTCTGCGGTGCTTCAGGACGGGCAGCAATCCTCTGATCAAGAAGAACAAGATCTGGGGCGGGCAGAACGGCGGCGTGCTCGTCTACAACGGCGGCCTCGGCGTGCTCGAGTGCAACGAGATCTTCGACAACGCGATGGCCGGCGTCTGGATCAAGACGGACAGTAACCCCGTGCTGCGACGCAACAAGATACACGACGGCAGGGACGGCGGCATATGCATCTTCAACGGAGGCAGAGGTACGGGCGTCTCTCGCGGGTTTTCCTCCAGAATGCAATTCATAAGTGTAAATAAAGTGAATTTAATTTAATCGAATTTAATTTACCCGCGCCTCCGACGGCAGCTTTGGACGTCGTCCCCCGAATGTCATAATATTCCTTTTTAAAATTTCGTTGTTAATTTCGTTAACGCGATCAGTTATGATGCGTAGCCGTTCGTTTTTGTGCGACGGATGCGAATGCGGCCTCATCCACAGGTAACGTGGTGTGATAATCGCGCTCTGCATTTACGTATGCATTTCGCAGTTTGCCATTAATGTGGCAGCGTTCGCAGGTAACGGAGTAATAAATAATCTCTACTAATAATGACCTTCGTTTCACGCAGGTGTGCTTGAGGAGAACGACATTTTCCGCAACGCGCAGGCCGGCGTGCTGATCAGCACGCAGAGCCACCCGACGTTGCGAACGAACCGCATCTTCGACGGCATGGCGGCCGGCGTCGAGATCACGAACAACGCGACGGCGACGCTCGAGGGAAACCAGATCTTCAACAACAAGTTCGGCGGCCTGTGTCTCGCCAGCGGCGTGTCACCGGTCCTCAAGGGTAGGTGTGACAATACTGGTAGGTGTGACGATGACACTGGTAGGTGTGACAATATTGGTTGGTGTGATGACGACATTAGTAGGTGTGACGAAGACACTGGTAGGTGTGACGACGACACTAGTTTGTGTGACAATACTGGTAGGTGGGACGATGACACTGGTAGGTGTGACAATACTGGTAGGTGTGATGACGACACTGGTAGGTGTGACGACGACACTGGTAGGTGTGACGACGACACTGGTAGGTGTGACGACGACACTGGTAGGTGTGACGACGACACTGGTAGGTGTGACGACGACACTGGGGGGGCGGGGGGGGCGGGCGGCGCGCGGCCCCCGGCGCCCAGGAGGTGACGACGACATTGGTAGGATGTGACGAAGACACTAGTTTGTTGTGACGACGACAAACCGGTGGTGTGACGACGACACTTGGCTAGCTGTGACGACGGACACTTGCGTTAGGTGTGACGACGACACTAGTCTTGTGTGACGACGCACGGTATGCGTGGTAGGTGGGACCAATACTCGGTTCAGCCGTGACCGACGACAACTGGTAGGTGCCGCCTTGACAACACCTGGTAGGTGTAACAATACTCGGGATTGAGCATTCTTCCGCAGACCGCCGGAAATCGCGCGATTTGACAGTCCAACTCCGGGTCGATTTGTTGTGCAAACGTTCTAAATTCGTTGAGAAAATTGGGAGGGGGGTAACAACTGCCTAACCCAATTTAACAATTATATATCCTCAACCCGCACCTGACTTGATTAGACGGTGCTAGAGTGTAGACAGTAGGCTGACAGCCGAAGTAAGATACAGTTGTATCTGTTTTTGCGTTACCAGAAAAGACAAATCCTCGTTCACAGACTGCCAGTAGAGGGCCAGACATTGCAGCTAGCCTGATCACGTAACGCCATGCCTGGCCTGGGGGCCGGAGTTTACATGTTGCTGCGTGCATGGTGTGCTGCATGACTATGTCGACTGATTGTTCCATTGCGCATTGCTTTTTTTTCATATCAAATTCTCGTCGCAGCAAGGCAGCTTATGTCTGAGTAAAAACAAAGGCAAGCGCGGTGTGCTCGGTAAACAGAAAAAGATCATTATGTTCTAGACAGTTTAATAAAAATTGGCCTATTTTCAGCCCCCCCTCATTTCCTATTATATGTTCGTTTGTTCCTTTTGACAACTTGAAAAGGTGATTCAAGAGTCTCTGATTAATGTGCTTCAGAATAGCTTAGAATGCACCAAATTGCCACCATTCTTTAAAAAAATTCCGGGGAGTATGCCCCGGACTCCCTAGCATTGCGATGGGCCACGGTCCTCGCATTGCTCACTCCTTCTGTCTTGCTTTAATTAAAAATTTCAGCTGAAAATTAAATTATCCAATCTCATCCTGAATATACTGCGTAGAGGTAACAATACTGGTAGCGGTTGTAAACAATACTGGTAGATGTAACAATACTGGAGCGTGTAACAATACTGCGTTGGGTGACTCGACCGACACTGGTAGGTGTGACAACGACACTGGTAGGTGTGACAACACTGGTAGGTGTGACGACGACACTGGTAGGTGTGACAACGACACTGGTAGGTGTGACAATACTGGTAGGTGGGACGATGACACTGGTAGGTGTGACAATATTGGTTGGTGTGACGACGACACTGGTAGCTGTGACGACGACACTAGTTTGTGTGATGACAACACTGCTCTGGTCAGGAAATGTGACAACGATGAATGGCCGGCTTACTAACGTTTAGTTGGTGAGATTTTTCAGATTAGTTATGAAGTTTGGTTTGAGTGGGTAAGCTATTATTAGTCAAAATGTGTGACATGAATGCTTTTATGCATTTTGAAATTGACAGTTGAGTAATTTTGAGACGACTTTTTCGGTTGGTCCAAAGTTGTTTCATAACTCCTGATTGTATTCTTTGTGGGAAGGCTTGCTGCTATTCATTATTTAGATTTGTAATAGAGATGTGGAAATAAGTGTGTGAATTAATGCTGTGGTGATATGCTGTTTCTGTGACTTTTCAGAAGAAAAATGCACTCATCTAATGTAAACATGAAATTATTATCTCTGGTGTTGACATCTCTGCAGATAACAAGATCTTTGACAATCGTAACTCAGTGGAAAAGGCAGTGAAAAGTGGCCAGTGCCTGTACAAAATATCCAGCTACACTAGCTTCCCAATGCATGACTTCTACAGGTAATTAGAATTAGCTCCCAACACTTGTACAATGGTAGTAGGTGCATGAATGGTCAATATGCGAGAAAATGTAATTATTACATAGGCTAATGGCCCAATGGTAATGTCTAACCTTGGAGGAAATATTGATTGTAAAGAATCCTTTGTTTTGCCCTAGGTGTCGAACATGTAACACGACTGATCGCAATGCCATCTGTGTTAATTGCATCAAAGTTTGCCATGCCGGCCACAATGTGGAGTTCATCAGGCATGATAGGTTCGTAAAACACACTCTAGTTTAAATATACTATACCGTATTCCCTCGAATAATAGCCCCTGCTTGAATAAAGGCATGTGTGATTAACAGTGTTGTAGTCGAGTCCGCACCCCCCGAGTCCGAGACCGAGTCCGAGTCCGCACCCCCCGAGTCCGAGTCGACGTCCGCGCACCCGAGTCCCTGAGTCCACACCAAACACGGAGTCCCGAGTCACACGACCGGAGTCAGTTTTTGATGTACAACAAAAAGCGGGGGCACGCCCGGGACAAGGCCAATTCACTTCTATGTATGGTGTTTTCAAAAATTGGGGGGCGGGCGTGGTGCTTCCATGTCCCTAGGACTCTAGTCGACATTGTTTTGCATAAAATTAGAAAGTACCAGTAAACTTGCATAAGTCGACACTTTTGGCAGCATATTTCGGTGGCCTCGACTCTAGGAAATAACGTCTGTGGAGAAATAAAACGTTTTAAAAATCAACGAATAAAAATTGCGTGCATTATGCATTGTCTTATAAGCTAAACGAACATTCTAATTGTATGTAGAATGTATATTAGTGCAATCATCACACTTGGCGTATGAGATTGATCTGGGAAAAAGGTGCAACCGTGCATCGGTAGACATTCGAAAGTGTATAGTCAGCCAAACACAGAGACACGATCATAACGAAACGTGTCAAGTAACGGATCCATTAGTGTTTTACGAGAATGACACGGCCTGTTGAACCAAATCGAGAGAGTGCTAGTACTTAGTACCTGACTACCTAGTACCTACTACCTTCGAAGTGGTAGAGGTCATATAGTAGTACTACTAGTACATCGCACATAGGTTCATGACATCATTTTACACCTTTCTGCCCTTATATCACTGCTGCCAGCCGCAGTAGACGATTGGTTAACGCGCGCCGTGTGTAATTATTATGCCGCTGTTGAATACGAATTGATGAGCGTGAACTCGGCCCACGCGCGATTTAAGCGCCGACAACAACAGCATCTATGACTAACTATGTATGTAGTGCCTCGAGCCGGTCTCGACCCGAGTCCTCGAGTCCGGAGGGCTCGAGTCCGAGTCCGAGTCCGAGTTATTGCACTCCGAGCCCGCCAGAGACCGAGACCGAGACCAAGGAAAACGGTCCAAGACCGGTCTCGAGACCTACAACACTGGTGATTAAGGGCCGGGGGGGGGGGTAAAGATACTTTAAATCAATAAACGCCGGAGCCTGAATAGTCGCGGGGGGGGGGTGGGTGATGATGTATATATATAGGTATACAGTTTGTGACTGTCTGGCTCACGTTTGCTATTGACATTAAAAAAAGTTATCAAATAAAGTGCCATTGTTCCATGCGGTGAATTCTCTCTAACGGGTTTTTCATTACTTTCAATTGTATTGATAACAAGCAGGTGCGAACGTCACCAGAGTAAAACAAAACTTCGTGAAAAAAACATTTAAAAAAACATGTTTTGGCCAGATCTTTGCACGAAATAACAGGCCTGTCTCTAGATATATTACGAAGGAAATAAATTAAATACTGGGTGTAGCATGCAGTAAAACAATAAACGCCCCTGCCTGAATAAAGGCATGCTTGAATAGGCGCCGGGGTCATTGGTGTGACGAAAACAATAAACGCCGGGGGTTTATTCGAGGGAATACGGTATATCTAAAAAAATACTTGAGTGAAAACCATTTAACAAATAATCAATATATCACAAAAACAACTCTAATATCTTTTTCCCCCTTAGTTTTTTTGTGTACAGTGTTTGCTTGCACTTGATTTCATGCCAAGATTACACCAGAGTGCATAACCTTCTTTCTATTTCTCATCCCTTCCTCCAAAAATAACTGCAGTAGTAGCTCGTCTAAGTTAGAGCAGGTGTTGTGTAACTGACATGGTTCGCACAGTCCTTGAAAAGTCCTTGAATTTGAGGGGAGTCCTTGAAAAGTACTTGAATTTAGTAAATGTTTGTTTAGTGCTTAAATTTCATGAAAATGTCCTTGAATTTCATGAAAATGTCTTGAATTTTTAGAAAGAATCCTTGCCTGTAATAAAAAGACATTTTGTACCATCAATAATGTGCAAACCTCAATAAAAATTGTGTTAAATGAGCTTAAAAAGCTATAGACACGATAGACAGTTAAATGATGATCACAAATTACAGTAAGTCAGTCAAATCAGTCAGTAAATCGAGGTATGTTGTAGAAGTGACAGTGTATAGAAGGGTTTATTAATCTGATCCAGGTAAGTTTTAGAGGTGACAGTGATTAAGAATGGGGTTATTATCAAATTAATCCAGGTATGTTTTGTTCTGTGTATGAATTCCTATAAAATGTCCGATAAAATGTCTTTGAAAAGTCCTTGAAAAATTGTTCAGTCCTGTATGAACCATGAACTGACTAACCGTGCCGCACTATTTTCCTTTCAGGTTTTTCTGTGACTGTGGTGCAGGTACGCTGAACAACTCGTGCCTGCTACAGGGTGAGCCGACGCAAGACACAGACACCCTGTACGATTCGGCTGCGCCCATGGAGTCGCACACACTCATGGTCAACTAGCAGCAGCACCTACGCTCGACGTCATGTGAGGCGGTGGCAAGGCCAGAGCCTCTCTCTCTCCGAGAAATAGCACCTCTACTCCTCTATTCTTCCTCCTCATTATCATCATCATCATCACCATCATCGTCATCAACATCATCGTCATAGTCTCCATGTTCTTCCTCGTGCCCTGACGGGAGTTTCTTCTCATCTCTTGTACATTTTTCACTCATACACATGTCAACGAAACCCATCAAATGTGGTGACGGTGGTGGTGACGGTAGTGGTGGTATCGGTGGGAGGTGACAGAAGCATTCGTGGTCCTCGATCGTTGGCGTTTCTGTGTACGGGGGGTGAGCGGTCGGTCGCTAGCACGTGGTGGACTCGCGCTGAAAAGATGCGTTGCTATGCAGAGAGGAGCACAGCATGTTGCCGAGTGATATTGTGAGGAAGACTTGTACGCTTGCTGGTATGTTTTCACGTGGACCAATCTGTCCTGGTCTCTCTTTCTTCCTCTTTCTCTCTCTCTCTCTCTCTCTCTCTCTCTCTCTCTTTGCACGTGTGTGTGTGTTCGCATGCATGTTGTGTCACATTCCTCGTGTTGGTGTACTGTAAAAACGTGATCTAATTGTGAAAATGGAAAAAGTCGAGGTCTTTCTATTTCCTATGTAAATTGGTGCACCAAGACAGTCATGTTCTCTGCCCGTGTCCACCACAGTTGTACCGGAGTTTAGACGTTGTGTACTCAGATGGGGGTTAGTGTTTAACACTTACTGCTGTAGTTCGATTATTAACACTTATAACCACGATAAGCATATGCCTTCTAACCCTTATTGGCCTTCAAAAAAGCTTCCTCGTGAAATAGTACTTGCAGCTAGCAGCATGTGAATCGACATGCATTGCGCGACGTTGCAATGCGAGCTGCAATGTGAATAGTAGTGTCTAACCAGGATGAACATTTATAGTCGCAGTAGTAGCAGTACTTCTGGGGCCAGTTGTTTCTTCCAGATTCCTATTCCATTCCACTTCAATTCCTTTGATTTCATTTTGGTTTTAATTGCCTTTATCGACTGTTGAGATGAAACCGATCTATCTTAAAGATGTATGCTGTTGGTAACTGACCCCCAAAACTAGCCATGAATCTGAAGTGATGCAGCCAGGGGTTGAATCTGTGTGACAGGTGTATGATACCTATGTGATTGTCTAGCTCACTGCAGTGGTATTCACGATTGGACCATGGCCTCTTGAACCCTTCTAATTCATACGTTTTGTGTTCACTACGTGTGAATTCTGAGAGCTAGACGAAGTGCTGATATGCAGCGTGTGTTTGACTGGCTGGAAGAAAGTGAGGTGACATTAAGTGGTCTCATAAAGAATGTGTGTGTTTACACTACGTGTTAATATCACCTTCAAAATAACAGAGGGGCAGTGCAGTGGCGTGTTTGTGAGACGTGAATTAGGTACGAGTGTGAGCCGTGCACTTTGGTTCCGCGACGTAGTTTTGTGATGGTGGGCATCTAGAGTCTGGTTATGTTAGAGATTTTGGTACGTTCACAATCAGCAGGGTCTTCAAAATTTTGGTTAAAAACCACCCAAATAATTTCTTTACCATTTTAATTTACAATGCCATGAGCAAACTGTCTCGTGAAATAGTTGTGTCGTGATATTGTGGACTGATATACCGTGCAAATGATCGTTTGTACCTTTAAAATGAAAGAGAAACGTGTAAACAGTTCGATATAGTGACTGTGAGATAGACACTTCCACTCCTGGCCAACCTTGTTTCCCCAACATTAGCAGTTCTTGGTCAATTTATTTCAGTGGTGCCTACTAAAATTGGTTTTTTGATGGGTTCTTGAATTCAGGTAACTTTGCATAACTGGTGAAAATAATGTACATATTTTATTACATAACGTATAGTGTTGTGCTTACCTATAGACTGTATACTCTAGAACATAATGTGAAAGTTCCCTTACCGAAGGCAAGCGACGCCTTGCTGCAACTTTTGCTCGCAAGCTGTGCTTTGCACACTTGATTACTGATGCTGTGTCAGCGTGGAATACTGCTAGCTACAGGTCAATGTCACTAGCGCGCACAGCGGCTGCCGTGGCACGTTGCAAACGCACGATCGTAGACCTTGCAAATGTTTCTCACGTTATTCGCGATTGCCCAATGATAGACGGAGGTCTACCGTGATCCTTCCGTCGAAGGTAGTGGTAATGTGTTGTACCGAAGAGGAGCATGGTGGCTCTAAACATTGGTTATGTGGAAATAATGTGCGTGTGTCGGTGCATGCATGCATGCATGCATGCATACATGGGTGGGCATGGGAATGTGTGGGTGTGTGTGCATGTGGGGTGTGCGCGTGTGTCCATGCATGTGATGATGTGAGTGCGTGTGAGGGTCAGTATATATAGAAGCTAATCATGATTTTTCTGACAATTTATTCGGAGACAGCATCTCGTCTCGTCGTCTAGGTGACTTATTTTTACATGAATATATGTATATATATATATATTCGCCACGTAATTGGATGATATGATTTGCGCGAGACCACGTCCAGGGGCTCCTGATTGATATCAGATATAAACTGGCACGCTAGCCTGTCCGTGGCGACAATCGCTTGTTGGCAACAGACGCCGTTATTGTGACACCTGCGATGTATGTAATATGTGTTCATAGCTTATTGATTGGATAGGCCATTTATCAAAGTATGTAATTTTTTTTCTGCCCAGGTTATCGATTCGTTTACTTTTCTTTATCATTATTCTAGCCGAGCTTGTTTTGTTATTGTCCTCGATTTTCTCTGGCCGATTTAATGACTGCCACTGTCTGCACGTTGTCCATTTTAAATATATCAGTTCGTTGTTATTATTAGTTTCATTTGTAAATTTTAGTTTGAAATTTGGTTTGATACGGGCCATATTTAGTTAAAGGGATGTTACGGTGCACTTTAACAGCAACTGCCTTTAGTATTACAAATTATATAATAAATATATATATATTGTATCTAACACTATTGTGTTACGACATGTAAGTAATTAGTGGAAAGCAGTCAGCGGTACAGGCGTTGGTTCCACTTTCAATTTAAATCGGAGCTAAAAACTTACCTTTACTCACAATTTGTCGCCTAAATATTGACAAGTTGCTCACGTATATTCCTGAAAAGTAAATTGCTTTTGCTAAAAACACTTAGTGATGTAATGCCAAAGCCGTTTGCATGAATTTGTAATATATCATTCTTTGACTTGAGAAGTCTTACTAGAAAAACTGTCGCACTCCCGTGACTCAATATTCATTATTGGGTGTTAGTGTAAGTATGGATGACTTATTCATATTTAAATTTCAACTGTGGCTCTGCTTGTACTTGTAAACCTGCCACCAGTGCTTCAATATACTGTGTCAAATGGTAAAATTACATGTTGTTGGTTTTTTCACTTGTTCGTAGTTGACCCAGTACGTAAAAAAAAATTTGGATACCGGCAATGATTAATCGTAGGGCACTTTCTGGTCACCGTGTGATCTCTGTGTGCTGCTGTTTTGGTCTGTAACATGATTGTTAATATAGTTAAAACAGTTATATAGTTATATAGTTATATAGTTATATAGTTAATATAGATAAGGCATATCAACACAGGCATGCATATAATCAGGTGATTCATCAAATAGTATAGTGCAGTGCATAGCTCACTACCATGCAGTGCATAGCTCACTACCATGCAGTGCATAGCTCACTACCATGCAGTGCATAGCTCACTACCATGCAGTGCATACACATTTAAATGAAAACACATGCGCTCATTGGTGCAAAGACAATCATACAATGAATTAAGGTACAATAGAATATATTGTTGTAAAAATCTCTATTGTTCGTAATGGCATATTCCAATAATTCATTCTCCAGTCAACAATCAGCAGGTATTCCTAATGATTGTGATTTGCTTGTTGGTCTTCGTGATAATTGATTTATCTGTCTGGCACAACTGACAGGACTCTAAAGCGGCGTTAAGCCTAGCGCAGACTTGCGACTTTTGGTTGCTCGTCGCTGCAACCTGCAACCGCATGCGATCGGTCGCACGCCTCACCGTGTGTCACATGCGATTTCGAAACGATTGGGAGCGACGAGTTGCTGAAAATCAAACCAGTTTGATTTCTTGCAACTCGTTGCAAGCGACCAGAATCGCTACGAGTTGCAGTTGCACGTTCCCGCAGACATAGCGATTTGACGGCAATTTCGACTGCGATTCTAGAATCGCAGCCGAGTTGCATGAAAAAGTCTCAAGTCTGCGCTAGGCTTAGCCAATCACAATTGCGCCAGGACTTTCTAAAACCAACACTTGGTAACAAAGTGCCACAGAGACAAACAGGTACAAACTGAGTTGGCTTGATGGACCTAGCAGCACTGTCCAGGGTGCCTGGCTATCTCATTAAGAAGGATAGGCCAATAAGTCTGTATAATATGCTATATATATATTATATAATATGCATAATATATATATTATATCTGCATAATATGCTATATATATTATACAGGATAGTGGATGGGGTGGGTTTAGGTGTCATCACTAATAACATACTTCCATAGCATTTCCACGAGGGAGCTTTTGCCTCGTTCGCAGTGACAGCACTGTGGAAAGGGAGTGCATCCAGGGTTACAGCAGGGAATGAGAGTGTTATTCGCTCCTCTTCTGATCTGACTCGTGCCCCATTTCATACGCTCGTCGAATTTCTTCTTAAGTTTAGCAATGAACGGGATGATTCTCTTGCCCTTCGGTGACTTATTGATGTTGTACCTCTCCGCAGGATCGGCGTCAAGGTCAAACAGTAAAGGGGGGTTGTGTTTAGTTCGCAGTGCTGTAATCCTGCAGTCGTCGTCAGGGTTCCTTTGTCCACACAAGCCCGAACCCTTTGTCCAGAAGTGAGCTTTGTACTGCTTGTATCTTACAGCAAACACGCCGAATCTTGGATCCGCACCAACCGGGTAGTAGAAGAAAGTGTCTCTCTTGCTCTACGAATAAAACGGTTATATCACAATGACGACAATGGTGCGTGCCTGGGAAATTGCACGTGTACCTATCAGAATGAGTAAAGCGATAATTCTGAGCAGGACGTGAAAATGTTTATTCTATTTTCAGGCTCGACATCCTTGTCCACAGGATGGATTAATTATCACGAAGGATCTTATATATACAAACTTCTGGCTGCTTTCTCTGAAATTCTCTCACCAATAGCTACTTCACTCCTACATGCTAATGATTACGAGAGAGGGACATGCGCCGCTGATTTCCTCAGAGTATTTACAATACCTTCCCATGCCTAAGCAGAATTTCTTCCATGTCTACGCCATCAAGTCGAAGCGGTGGTTTCTTCCCGAGTAACGTAGCTATAGTAGGTAGGAGATCCAAGGTGCTAGCCAGCTCGTGTGTCCTGCCAGGTGGGATGACGCCTGGCCAGTAGGCGATCGCTGGCACTCGCATGCCTCCCTCATACGTCGTACCCTTGCAGCACTTTAGAAGACCGGCACTTCCTCCCTGGATCTCTCTAGTCATACTAGGCCTACAGAGGATAACAGAGTGTGACGTTTCACTTTCGATTTTTTACTTACGGGTTGAAGAGTCTGTAGAATATTCTCGCGAATTTTTTTTATTACGAACGGCTGCGAGGCAGCACAATTTTATTTTGTCGAGCCTGAGGAAATATATTGATGATCGGTGTCAGAAACTGAAGCGACACTGAAGATTGTTGTTCATAGAGAGAAAGTGGTAGAATTGCATACCCGAAGTCATGCATCATTCAATGATGTCATGTTTGCCATAACCTGACAAACTAATTAAAATCAAGGTGAGTGAAGGAATGTTTTTACGCTATTACAGGAACATGATGATACAATATGCGCAGCATGCGCTTACATACGTACAACGTATTTATCCGTACTTGTTGAATGCCTTACCCATTGTCTGAAGTGAAGAAGACATATGTATTATTCTCAATACCAGCATCCTTCACAGTCTTCAGTATCATTCCGACCGACCAGTCCAGTTCAGCTAACGCATCGCCAAATGCACCTATAATATACATATATACTGTGTGAAAGAGCTCTAAAAGATTTATTTCAGTCATGCAATTTACGCTATAACTCAAATGTATTATATATAAATGTGTTGACCATACTCGTGAGCATTGTACAATACTATATTAAGGCAACTATTAAATACTAGATTAATCCATTGTAATGCACGTACCTAATTTCTACTGTTTCACCTCAAACTAATATATTTTCACGTTATATTTAAGCAGTATGAAAAAAATAAAAACCCGTGTCACTAATTTCAGAACTAATATATTCAAAACAAAGCTCATTATAAACTGCAAATCAGATATCATTCATTTTTCGAAATAATCGGAACCAAGAGTGGTTGAATACGTGTAATACATATAAGTGGAATGCATATTAATTGCACCTCTTATGCTAGAGTTTGTAAACCTCTGTCCAGCAAACTGAGGATGATGCGTCTGATAGGAAGCATAGTAGAGAAAGAATGGATTTCTTGCATCCGTTGCCTCCTTTATGAAATCTGTAGCTTTATCTGGAACAGTGCGAAAATATAGTACAGTGATAGTACTATATATAGCACCATGCTAAATGAATACCACGACTGGCATATGACTATATATGAATGAAGTGTAACTAAAGGAGAATTTACAACTACCAAATCATTCAAAACTGCGTCTATGCAACTGGGTCTAGATCAGCATAATTTGCTAAATTATTCTCGTTTCACGTTAATTATAATTACAATACCTATATGTTTCTTCGTAAGGCTAATCAAATCAGCTGGTTGCTCCACGATGGTGGTATTGCCAAACAGTGGACATGGTGCCTCGTTGTTTCTACAGGGTCTAATACATGATCCATCTGGATAAAAGCACACTGGACAGGGGCACATATCATGAGAATAAGGTATGCCATAGTACTCATCAAACCCATGGTTAGTTGGAAGATACGTTCCATTGACTCCAACACCAAGGTGCCACTTCCCTATGGCAGCACTCTTGTAACCATGGCGACCCAGAAACTCTGCTATTGTCGTTTCGTTATGGGGCAAACCACCAATGTCACCTGGGCTGAATACATCTGGGTAAATACCACTTCTTGTCTGGTACCTGCCAGTCAGCAAAGATGCCCTGGAAGCGCATAATTACATATGAATTATTTATCAATCAATTTCGGCTCATATATTGGCCCTAACGACAATGTAATTAAAACATATTAATTAAGGAAATCATTTCATAATTGTATTTGGTATTATGAATTATGATAGTATTATTATTATTGAGGGGGGATTACGGAATAGTCTCCCGTGTAGGCCTACTGATCAGTATCATGTTTACCTTGATGGGCTGCATACAGGACTTGTGCTATAAAATTGTGTAAACACTAGGCCTTTGTTTGCCATTTCATCAATAAATGGAGTATGCGATGTTGGATGTCCAAAACACGACAAGTCGCCATAGCCCAAGTCATCAGCAAAGATTATCACGACATTAGGTTTCCTATCATACTGACTATTGTTGAAGCGTAGGTCAGTAACACACGCGTAACGCAACGCCGCTATTGCAAGCACGCCCAAAAACGGAAAAGCATGTAACCACGCCATGCACGTTGGAGCTGAAGTTCCAAATTCCGAGTTCAAGTTTGAAGCCAAGCCATCAACAACTAAACAAGAACAATGAAGAGGTAAAGTGAACCCGTGTGCAGGCGGGGATGACAGTCGTGTGCTCTATCCCCGCTCTATCCCTTCAGGCTAAGGCAGTAGTGTGTACGTATAGAAGACATAAGCACAGATGTCAACAAGCGTAGACCTTAAGTAAACATCACAGGGGGCGTAGGTTAATACCGTTAGTTCACGAAGGTTGGGCAGACACCGAGTACGCAGGCACAGTGGATGTATGGGGCGCGCGCACTTGTCGTCTACATGTGAATTATATTTATTGATTTATTTAAGATATGATATTTATATACTAGAAATGGGCGCACGGCATCGGGAGGTCGTTTCGCGTATTTTCTCCACCTGATGTTATAGATATCCACTTTAGTTGGGTTTGCCGAGCTTTCATTTTCGCGGATTTAGTACTTATTTATTATACTCATAGTCTAAAAATGTGAGAATTTTCATAGTCTAATACTCATAGTCTAAAAAAGAATAGATATACGCATTAACTTAATTCATGCAACTATCACAGGTGGTGTAGGTTACCGTTAGTTCGTGCAGGCGCAGTGAATGCGCGCGTAGCACAAGCATTGAT